TGTCTTCCTTGGCTTACATTTGTAGCCAAAAATTCTTTGACTGCACTAGGTGGGATAGGGAGGCTGCCACACTACTCTGAAGAGTTGGAGCAGGTTATGCTCTTGCTAGATATGTCTTCTGGTATTACGTTAGGGACGTCATCGGTTAGAATAACTTGTTATTGGTGGCACTTGTCGAGATTTAGGGTGAATATAGACCAAGGTCTCCCTTCCCCTTTAGAGAAGAGTGTCGTCCATAACTGGGATATCCAGCTGCACGACTATCATCTACATTCTGCATGCAGCTCGATGAATTGCCAGGGGACGACTGCATCATTTTGGAGACTCTCTGGCGTATTATAACCACACTTATTCAATTCTGTTGCAAGTAGCCTTGATTTTATGTCGACGCCACCTAGCGGATCCTACTGAACTAAAGTGAAAAGCTGGCGTATTTTTGCAAAACTTTGAGCTTATTTATTGCTATTGTTATTAAATTTTTCAAGATAAAAACTATACTAAAACCATCCAGGAAGTGTCATGAATCAGTGTGCGAAATTTCAGAAAAATCGGTTAAGTAGTTTTCGTGGTTAGCGATTACAACGGTTTCAGTAACTTTGCTTTATATACTATGAAGATTTCTAAGTTCCATGGCTCGTAAGTATTTATTTACTTTTGTTAACATTATAATTAAATTACGATGACTTTATAATTGAAGCTAGTACTATTTATACGGAAAATGACAGCATAGATTTCAAGACATATGTTCAGTTAATAAATATGAGAGTAAAAATGACGCAAGTGAAACTTTGTGAGGATACCATTGACAGAAACAAGTGACAGGCATTTTTAGTTTTGTTAGTTAAACACAAAGTCCTATGGAGATTTATGTATTTCACATTATGAAAATAAAACTACTGTTGAGATCTTATTCAAGGTTGATAGAATAATAACAATAGACGTGTGACATGATGTGGTGCAGTTTTAACATATTTTTAACATTTTTTTAACATATTTTTAACATATCTTGGTAAAGTGGAATATCAAAATGGATGTTAGGTTTTTTAATTATTTAATTTACAATTATTACACGTTTACAGCATTGTTAAAATCAGTAAAAGAATGATAATAGTTATTGTTTTTTATAGTATAGTTTATACGTCCTGGTATACCCATATAAAATACTACAAAATATAGTACAATACTTAAAGTTTTAGCATAATATAGTAAAGAACTTTATGGCTTGAGAAGAGAGTTGGTTAATTAGGTACTTTCTATACGTTTTAATGTCTCACATTGATCACATGTTTTTGATCATAAGTTCCTATTATTTTTAAGTAAAAATAATCAATATTGATACATTAATATTTATTAATAAACATGACAAAATATGTTTTCTTTTTAAGTAGCATACAACAGAACTAAAAGTAATCTATCTTTTTGACAAAAATATGTGGATCATTCAAATTAAAAATAACTTGGCTGATAGAACTACCTCCGTAGAAGGCTGATCTTCAATGAAGTTTTTTACAGTAACTCACATGGTTTATCCAAGATATCAGGAGGTAAGGCACTCATCTTTTTAAAAGGGCCCATTGAAAATGCAGGCATGTTTTCTTTATGTACGATTTTATGCAAAAAATGTTGAAAAATCATGCTTTGTAGTTATATCCTTACACAAATCAACAAAAACCATTTTTATGGCATTTGTTGGTATATTCAAAACAAACAGTTTGTGACTTACATTTCAAAAATGGATTAATAATTGTTTAAAATAATCGACGTATAACTCGAAAAAAATCGAAAATTTTAACAATTCTTCCCTCTGTCAAAAAGTTTTAAACAGCTCTGAAACTTAGTGAAGATACGTCCTTCATAAGCATAAAACTACTCAAGTTTTTCGTTTGAAAATATTTCTATTTTTTTTTTAATGCATTGATTAACTAAAAAAGTTGTGAAATGTTAAATTCAATTTTATCTGATTAATGGAATCTGACAGAGCCCAAAAGCTTATTCTTCTTTTTATAAGGTCTAGTTTTATGAATTCCCTAATGGTCCCATGATTTATGCATTTTTTTTTTATTAAAATGACCTTTACAAAAGTGCGAGCTTTCTACGACTGAATTTTTTAGGAAATCTCGTTAAAAAATTAAATTATCTGCATAAAAATAGTATATTTCATAAGCTAGAAGTTTTTCACAAATTAAAAAATAAAAGAAAACTATTGCTATCGAATGCTTGCCAGTCAAGACAACTTTTTAAATTTTTTTTACGCCATTTGTTTATTTAACAACACAGACGTTTGTTATTTAGACACACATGTTTTTTTGGCCTTTTTTGGGGTTATTATGGGTAGTATGATAAAATGTTAACAACTACTGATTTTCTATTGTTGATAATTTCTTGTTTTTTTTATTACAAATAATTTTTTTTTTTAAGAAAGGTGATCTAAATAAGGGCTCTTATGTCGGAATAAACGATGACGATTGCTTAGATAGATGCACTTTAACAACAAAATACACAACAGCAAGCTGGACAGCGGTATAAGAGAAATTATATTACTGTTACATTGTATACAAATTATGTTGTGGTACTGACTATTTTATTGTTTTTTGTTTAGTTTACTTAAGTGTTTTAGTGTACTTGTAAGTACTTAGCAGGTCTTTCTCTACCTTTTCAAATTTTCAGTTCGTTTATGAAAATGGGATGAAAGGAAGAGAAAGAAAAGGAGATAAAGAATCTAAAGAAATAACGGACAGCAGCATTTTGCAGCCCATGTCAAGAAAAAAAACTTTTGATGGAATATTAATAAATAGTACGAATGTATGCATATTTTTCTTGTACCACTATTAACGAAAGTACTCTATTTTAACAATTTAATAATTCGTATAAATGAACAATGCCTTCAAAATAAAATATAGTCTGTAAAATTGTAGTATTTATAACTGATTAATACGAATCCATAGTCAAGACACTGACTTTTCTACGCAAGCAAAATAAAATGGATTTGGAAATAATGTGTAATCACTAAATCCAACACTTGTTTGCAAATGTATAGTATAACAAATACTTAAAACACTTTCATCCTTATGTGTTCTCCAAACACTATTCCTAAGGAAAAAAAATTTGTTTATCATAAATTAATTAACAAACCATTTACAACTGCGATACGATAGTTGTTCATATATTATCACGCTACCCCAAATGAAAAATTCAAATCAAAATCAGATGACTAATGGCTCAAGAACAACTTGTTCTCCTCAAGATATGAATTTGAAGTCATTCGATGAAAAAAATTCTAGTTAAAAATGTCAAGCGTGTTTTCGCCACTTGATCAGATAGTTGTCAGTAAACATTTGAATAAACTGTTACAAATATAATTAAAAAAAAAAATAATACAGAATATAAGAATTTAAGATTTCAACTATTTACAGTCCAAATTTTAAACGTCTCAGTTGATAAATGAAAAAATGGCGTGAAAAACGATAAAAAAAAAAAGATTTCTGCTTGTAAACATTCTACAACAATTTTTTTTTTTAATTCGTTAATCATTTTCTGCTTATGGAATATGGTAGTTTTATGCTAATACGTTAATTTGTTCAAAAGGTATACCGAAAAAACCATTCTCAAAAAAGTCGTATTTTCGTAAACACCGTTTTGTTGATAAAAAAATTGCAAAAATCGTTATGCCATTAGTCAATTCATACAGTAGGCGTACAACAAAAAAAGTTTGCTTCTGCTAGGCCCTGTCAAATGACAAAAACCAGATGAGACTGAATTTAACGTTTGAAACTTTATTAATAAATGAATGCATTTTCTCAAAAAGTTAAAAATATTTTTTAACAAAAAAATTTGAACAGTCTTATGCTCACAAAAGACACATTTTTATTTAGTATTAGAGCTGTTTAGAATTTTTTGATGTAGTAGAAAATTAATAAAATCCTTGATTTTTTTAACGTAACAAGTCGATTAATTTTGAAAATTATAAATCGATTTTCAAATTTTCAGTCACAAAATCTTCGTTTTAATGAAACCTATTAGTGGTATACCACAAAGTATGGCTTTTGGTAATTTGCGTAAAGATATAATTAAAAAATACAACTTTTAAGCATTTTTTTGCATTAAATTGTTAAAAAAAAAAAAAAATGAAGTTTAAATGAGCGCTTTTTCGAGGATGTGTCTCTTACCACCTGATACTTTGAATGAACATGNAAAAAAAAAAAAAAAAAAAAAAAAAAAAAAAAAAAAAAAAAAAATGCTGCCTCCTTTGGGGCGCTCGGCTGCTTGTGTGCAGTAGCAGTATAAGCAGCAGCAAGAGTCGTTCCCCCCGTCGTGAGATGTATAAAGCATTTTTTTGCATTAAATTGTTAAAAAAAAAAAAAAATGCTGCCTGCAGTTTGAATGAGCGCTTTTTCGAGGATGTGTCTCTTACCACCTGATACTTTGAATGAACATGTGAGATACCGTAAAGGATTTCATCTTGTGGATTTGCTTACTCTATTAGCCTAGTCATGTTGAAAAAAGACGGATTTAGTTATTTCAAGTCAAAATTTTTTTCAAATAACGTTAAAAAGATTTTCCGAAACTCATTTATGAGATCATGTCGAAAAACTTTTTTGCGTGGCCGTTAGGTTAAAAAATTTGCGTATATGTCATTACTATAACGGAAATCATTAAAAAATTCCATTTTTTGCTGCTTTTGATGCATGGATGTTGATTTTTTCATTATTTCAAGATGTATTAAGCACCTTATCTAATAGTTTAAAACTGAGAAAAAAATTTATTTTTAAGTACGAGATGCTCTATTTATTTAGCCTACTTTTAAATTACGATCCACAGATATTTCAATTTAGCTAAGTGATTGATTTCCAAACACTTGAAACTAATTATTGTATATACCACAGTGTACGTGAATACTGTCAATATTGTAACAGCACTAAATTTGAATGTGGCTATTCTCTGGGTGCATTGCACGCAGCGCCTTCAGTACAGCGTCAAAAAAGTAAAACTTTGGTGCCAAAATGTGCAAACAACAAATGACAACTGTGAGTGAAGACTTGCAGGTCAGAGAAAGTTTCGAAGTTATTTGACAAGTATATGCATACACACGTTAATGGCCTCATCTACAAGCTCTGGCACCTGAGTTGCACTAAATGCGCACCGTAGGCGCCTCAATCGTTTCACCATCACCATCCAACCACCTGCTTCAAGCAAATATATAGTATCGTCATGAATACGTAGCGTTTTTCTCGATAGCATAAGCCATTACTGTATCCCCCCTAATCTTCGAGAGAATTTTAATTATCTATTAGATGTCTATAGTGTACAAAGAGTTAAAGGGTGCAGATTTGACGAACGAAATTTTGTTAAAAAATTTCATCTTAGGGCTTCATAATCGCAAAAAAACGTATACATCATTACAATAATGCTCCTTTTTTAATTTGGAAAGAATGCATTAAGATGAATATAGGTGCTTAATAAATAATCGTAGAGTCGACTTAAAAAGTTTCCAACGAGCTTGGACATTATACAGCTCTAAAAAATTAATTAGAAAATTTTGAACATTTAATCCAGAAAATATTAATTAGGGCGTGAAAATATCGCTGTTTTTGTAAAAGAATTCATACAGGCATAAATTAATAAACGTTATCTGTTCTCAGAAGTCAGCATACTGAAAGCCTATAAATCTTAAATAACTTTTTTGAACAAATTTATGACGTCATGTAACCATGTAATCATTAAACTAATAATAGGGGAAAATTTTTTCTTTGCTGTTCAAAAGACATTCTTTTTTATACATTATTTCAGTTATGATAATTAAAGAATCTATTTTTTTTTTTTTTTAGACACCATCAGAGAAAAATATTTTTTTTTCTCAATACTACCATTAAACCAGTAAAATGACACTCCTAATAACTTTAGAGGAATTTAAATTACCAGTATGTGCAATATTTCAATCATTAAAAATTGTAAAAGTTACCAAAATCTTTAGTTTGAATCGACATTAGTTTGCAGAGGGTCGGCAAACGGAGCACACATTACGGTGAAGCCCCTTTAGTACCTGTATTTATAGTCTTAAAAGTATCGAAAAAGCGTTATTGGTGACGCACAGCTTGTGCAGACCAAAAGCTTCTTGTCTTCTGAAGTTCTGATGCCTAAATGATCCAATGTACTTTAAATGTTAGTTAACCTCGTCACCTATTTGTACACTTTAATGAACTTAGTCATTTAAGATTTTTTTATTATGTTTTATAAGGTATAACTTTTTATGCATCATTATAAGGAAAAAGACTTTTTTTTTTATTACTGTCGTTTTTTGTAAATCTGACCCAGTTCCAAGAATTATAGCATAATTTTCGGTTTTAAAGATATATGCGTTGTAAGTTCCTATGCTAAGTAAGTGCTACACAAGAACTTTCAATTGTCTAGTTCTCCCGGTTTGATCCAAGAAGTCTATTTAAAGTTCCCATAGAGGTGGAAAATCTTACTAGTTCTAAGTTTTTTACTTAACCTTTCCAAGTCTTACTTTACTAGCTTAGTCTCCTAGTCTTACACAAACTACCTTAACGGATCCAAAACTTCTTTTTCTCAGCCTTTTTTTCATAGGATGCATTTTTCTTTAATGTAATAATTAATTCATAGTTAGGCATATACTCAGCAAAATTTTCTATTAAATTACACTTATATGCTACTTGTTGTTCCTAAAATAATAATATACGTACCATTTAAAAAAGGAGAATAACATTTGAGCTTGAGCAAACTAAATCACTAAGTACTCTTAAAAATATTTATTAAGAAGTAAGCATAAATACGATTGTATAAAAATAATGACTGTAATATTTTTTGGAACAGCTCTTGACATTTAGAGGTAAAATTACAAAAAGCTAACTTTGTTTATTCTTGGAATGTTTGACAGTTTGTTATGAGAACTATTACTTACACTTTTCAGAAAGCAAATGCCTTAAATCTGTAGCCCATAGTATTATTTAGCTTATTTTAAAAGAACTACATTTACTAGATATTCTTTACTATAGCTACTTTATACCATTTCTTTGATATTCATAACCTTATGTATGGTTCGTCGTTTCTCACATCTCAGTAAATTAAAAAATCTAATATATTGTTTTCTTTTCGAATCTTCGAAAAAATTATAAGAAATTTTTCAAGACCACATCTGTCGCTTACAAAAATTAGCAACATTAAACACAACTGACTGCGTTTCAGTCTACTTGAAGACCACATTCCACATTTGTTGAAATAAAGACCATGAACATGTGAATAATAGAAAATAGCAGTCCCGTGTGTACATAGCTTTGCGTGATTGTTAGTATTAGTTATAATTTCTGTTGGTTTTTCAGCACACGTGGATCTTGTTTTCGTTGAATACTTTTACAGTGTGCAAGGAAAAATTTATGAGGAATTACAGCCTGATGCTCATAATATATTGACAATCTCATGCTTAAAAAGCCAGATTTATACATTACATGCATTATTAAGGCTTCTTATTTGACGTCAAAACTTAGTTTGGATACGTAATTTATTAAGTACTCCTTAACTAATAAATCTATTAGTGGTAGACAGTCCTTTTCGTACCCCAAATTGAATACCTTATATTTTGTTACTTTTTGTAAATAAGTTCGCACTGGATAAATTAAAGCTCCCTGAAGATTTATTATACAAAGCAATGTTGTTTTTTAACAGTTTCGACATTTTCTTCTTCAGAGACTGTGCAAAAAAAATATAATAAATGTGTGTATATTGAAACACATTAAGATTCGTTCATTAAGTACTTTGGTAGAACTGTACCAATAAAAAAAAAGGATTTTTTCACACTTTGTAAACTATTTACTCAAAAAGTATAGAGTTCACTGCTGGTCTTCAGTGCTTGGTCGATACTTTAAAAAAACACCGTAAGGATCTGCAAGTACTGAATCAGCTGGTAAAATGTTAGAATTTATAAATGGTTTCTTTGACCTCGACCACCATTGACCCCTCGAGTAGTTGTAGGGCATCCAGCTTAGCACATGGGAAAGTGGTCATATTACCTACTTTTCTCACTTTGTACAGCTTTCTGTAGGGGAATGGCCACTCACTAACAATAAAAGAAGCCTTACAATTTTTTTAATGGACAAATAAAGCTATACACTCATCCTGCAATGGCCCTCTCATGTCAACGCTACTCTTCCGAAATCACCAATCCTTTGTAATCCAATTAGTAAACGATGAATACCCTGCCTGCTATGCACTACATCTAAACAAACTTGAACGAGAGGGCTTCCTTGCTAAGTACAAGCTGTACTTTAACAGCCTAAAGTTAGCTCACATGGCAATTGTCTGCCCATCCAAAGCGTGTGCTAATATCTTAAGGCGTGGCATCACAGCCTTACCCACGGTGGTGGTCGTAACCACACATCTTTAGTTGATCTAGTACCAGCTTAGGCAAGCAGTCACTTTTCACCTTGAACTATAAAGATAGGATGAATGTACTAGCTGCTGTGACTTGCCGTCCTGTGCATGCTTGACAATAAGCTTAAGGACCCTGGGGCCTTACTGGGGGCAGACAATCACAGCAAAACACTCATTTACACTTACTTGTAAATTTTTATCATGTCCACTGCACTTGCTCAAAAGCACCACTCTCGAGTTAGCTGTTATAAGCATACCTGGCCCAGAGGAGCTATTTTTATGCGCTCCTCAACGATTGACAAGTGATTCACTAGATCTCTTGGATCTGACCTTTAGACTACCAGGTGGTGTCAACATCTAACTCGGAGCCGATGTTAACCCTTATCTACTATGGCAGTTATTCTATAGAGATTTTGTTGGACACTATTATTGACTATATTATGGACAGCTCACTATTTACAGCTAAATATTTGTTGGTCACGCAACGGGCCAAGCAACCTACTCATCACCAGCTACTTGCATTACGACACAGGATTTACCTAGGCATGAGCAGCTTATCGCACTAAAACAACGGTTTTGGGAATCGAAAAACGTGCAATGGGTCATTTGTCAGCCTTTTAATGACATCCAGTAAGGAGTTTACTTTTCTGACCACATTTTGCCCACCACTGAGTGCTATATCGTCCATCTCCTACACTGAGAGAACTTTGGTGACGCTGAAGCGCCAACTATTGTTACAATAGCATACTAACGTTGTGGTACGCACACTTCACTGATTTTGGGAGTGCTCTGCTCCCAAACGGTAGTGCATGTGCACCAACACGCGGGTCAAGACCTATACCGTCTTGTTTGCACATAACTTACGTCAAATAAGATAAAGGACTCGTACTTACGTCTTAGTGCTAGTACTTTCCTATTTTTTACACGATGACACTCTTATTTCGGTGAAGTATTTGTGGTACATCTCTAATGATATTGTTCATATAAAAGCATAAATATAATGGGCCATGTAACCTTGTATAATTTGTGAGTAAGAATACAGGACTCCATCGACTGATTTTAAATAAAAATGGCTTTTTCTTTGTAATCAGAAGCTCATAACTGCAGAAGCAAAAAAAATTTTTTTATCGTTTTTTAAATAATTTTTAAGATCTAACGGTGGCTCCCTACCGCTACATAGCACACCATGTACATGGATTTATCAAGATGCCTGATTAAACTATAGAGATACAAGAATAGAGGGAAAAAGCGCTCTACTAGCCCATTAGCGGCAGCGACAGCATAATTAAGTGTAACGAGGCATCTGTCCTTGTTGCCAAAGCCACGTTATTGGCTACTTCTTCGTCCTGAATCGGTTGGTTGGCTCCAAGAATGGATTGGTTGGCTCTTTAATAGATGGGCACTTAGTTGGAAGGCCCTTCTTGGCTTGCAGGTCCTTTTGATTCATGGCCAGTCAAGGACAAGAAGTTACCTAGCTCCATCACTGATGGCGTTCTTTAATTTTGTTGCGCTGTCCGAACCACTGTGCCAAGTAAGCTCGAGAAGATCTCAGAACTAGCCTTCTCCTGTACTTTCTCACTTGACTGTGTTACTAGGTTGGCTTTCAAGATTATGTGCCAAGCGTGAATACCTTTCTAAGATCTATAGTGATGATTTCTCTTGCTTCCATGCCACAGATCGTAAAATGCGTGAGGCACTCCGGGATGCCAGTCTAAATAAAAGCGTGTTGATAACTCACCTGCTGATCAAGCAATCACGAGGCAATTTGTTGCTCCTCGGACACTCTACTTTAGCGCACTATGGAGGGTTATTGTCAAGGCGATTAAATACTACCTCGGCCTTTCTCTGAGACCAAGCAAATTATTTTTTTTTTTTTAGGGCATGTTGGAGCTTACTTTTACTTTTGAAAAGTTATCTTAAAAAGTAATCTTTCATATCATGCTCATAAATTTTCGATGAAAAATTTGATAATAATATTGTAAAAAAAAAAGTTTGAACGTAAAAAACACTATTTTCTGACTGTAGATATGGATTTGAAGTTGGTTCACATGAGATATCTAGTATTTTTATGAAGTAAAATACAGTGTTTTAACAAACATTTCTATGCAGAATGTATCATTGTCATAAGTTTTTCTGTCTTACGATAAACTCTTTTAAAGTTTAACAAGAAACACTTAAAATAATGGTTTTTTGATACTTAGGTTATGTTGCACCTATTAACAAATGTTACAAAATACGCTGAAGTTGTACATTTTTTTGATTTATAGAATGTTAAAACAAAATTTAACTTACCTAAAAATGAGTACTCAAAACAGCATTCTTTCTATTAAAAAATGCTTAAAGATTATGCTTTCCTCAAACGAATTAAAAAATTTTTTTCTAAAAGGTCTTACAAGAAAGTTTCGTTGTAAGAGCTTGCAAAACTAAAAAAAAATGTAAAATTTGTAAACTGCAGCGTCGTGTATAATAAAAGCAATAATCTTTATTTAAATTCCTTGTTTGTCTGGTTATTAAAATGTCCTAGTTCTTAGAATTTAGTGTTATAATTATAGCCACAAATTTTCGAAATTAAAAAGTTTTTTCTTAACTCCATCTGGTCTCAAGACCACCTTACGTTGTAAGTTCTTACTAAGCTTGATGGTCAGCATCTGTTACCGTAACTCAGAGTACCAGTTATCCATCATAGAAGGCTGAAGTTCTGCAAGTGTGCTTTTTCATGCATGCTTACTTGCCATAACACTTTAAAATAAACGTAACACTTTGTACAAAAAAGTAGTCTTGATTCAATGGGTTTGTTATTTACAACTAGTTATTTACAATAAGTTACCTTATTTCCTTGAATTATAACTTTTTTTATTCTTTATTTTGATTATATGTACCAAAAAAAGTAACAAGAGTATTGATTAAGGCATTCTATTTTTTAAAATTCTTACTATCTTGTGTTCTGTCTTTATTTTATGTTTTAAGCCTTTAGTATTTATTAGACAGGACCTGTTTGTTATGAAAAGCTAGGCTGGAATGTTAATGTTCACATTTTTTGTCACAAAGTAAATAAAGTATAAATATATTTTATTCTTAATATAACGTATTTTTCTTGTTTATGTTAAGTCATCTTAATTAAAAACTTTTTTTCCGCTGAACTAAGAGGATTTTGCTTTTTATTAGTGTTTACTTAAAAATAAGAGCCTTTACTTTTTCGTTTGATATTAAATAAAATCCTTTTTTTCAACACATAATGCTTTAAAATTATACAGATTTACAAGAAACAGTATTATTTCAGGGTGAAAAATATGACGGAAGGCGAGCCGATGTTTGGTCGTGTGGAGTTATCTTGTATGCTCTCCTTGTTGGTGCTTTGCCGTTTGATGATGACAATTTAAGACAGTTACTTGAAAAGGTAAAACGTGGAGTATTTCATATTCCTCATTTTGTACCTCCAGATTGTCAAAATTTGTTAAGAGGTATGATAGAAGTTGATTCTGACAAAAGATTAACGGTAAGTCTGTCCTATGCCTATCTTAAAATTTGTTAAATAGTTCATAAATTTTTCTCATTCCATCTTAAAAATCGTATGAAAATTATACTACCAAGCAACAACGGTCAAAACACTGTAGATTTTTTTATTTTGGATGGTCCACAGGTAAAAACATATTTGACAATTTTATCATTGAGAAGAGTGTAATTTCTTTAGTAGTCGTATAAAAACAAGTTTATTTTTATTTTATAAATAATAATATTAAGATGAAAAGTTCTTTCTATAAAATCAAACATGTCAGGCATTGTAGTATGAAATTTTTATTCACATACACGTGGAGGAACTTTTTTGTCCTAGATCAAAAAACACGTCACACTGTAAGAAGTAAATATTTTTAGAAACAAAATTTTTTTACAAATTATTCACGAAATATTTGCTTAAGTATAGTTGCAATAGCTGCATAGCGTTGATTTTTCTTTGTTTACTCTGATGAAAAGCGTAGAAATACGTCTCATTGCTCAATTTTACAATAAGTTGTCCCATGACATGGTATTATTTGTTAAGGTCGATCACAAACACCAAAGGAATATTCTTATCAGAAACAAAATTTTTTTACAAATTATTCACGAAATATTTGCTTAAGTATAGTTGCAATAGCTGCATAGCGTTGATTTTTCTTTGTTTACTCTGATGAAAAGCGTAGAAATACGTCTCATTGCTCAATTTTACAATAAGTTGTCCCATGACATGGTATTATTTGTTAAGGTCGATCACAAACACCAAAGGAATATTCTTATCAGAGTGGCGAAAAATAAATATAAATTTATCTTAATAC